CGTAGTTTGATTTGCATCCTCATTCCTTTATGATATTTGTGTGGTACGCACTGCTCGTGGCTTAGATTGCTTACATTATATATCATTTGTATTGTTTCGTTACATTGTGTATCGTTTGCACCCTGCCCCTGAACTATGTTGGTTTGATTCCTTGCAAAAGGATTCCTAGGCAACTTTCGAGTTCAACCAACTACATCTGCATTTTGTTTGTCTGCCCAAGTCTTACGGCCTCGTCAAAATGGGTTGTCTCTGGGCTTTGACATTCACTCACGTCATTTCATAACTTCGAGCTCTATCAAAGAGGGACAACTATAGACATCCCATTTTTGACCATTTGCAAGACTTAGGCGCTTAGCCCAGAGCACTCAATGATAAAGTTGCATTGTGTGTGTGATTCGAATTCTCAACGAAGGAATCTAAGTTCAAGCTCTTAAAACAATTCCAGACCATTTATATTTACACTGTTTGTACCCCAGAATTTTATTTTCGAACATTGTGCCACCCTACACTGAGTTTAAAACAGAAGAATAAGGGAGCACATTGGGGACCGACCGTGCTACATTGGGAGTCGACTGTGGCCATTGGGTGTCAGCCGGCTTTCTTTGGCGAGAAACACTGTTCTGGGTGGGAGCCCGCCAACTGTCTATTTTTAAAGATATTTTCGATATATTTTGCTCAAATTCTATAAATACGAGGTCAAATCTCTGTTTTGAGGATTGAATAATTTCTAGAGAGCATATATACACCCTTGAGAGCTCCTTCTTCACATGCAGGCTACCTTTAAGCTACCCTATCTCTCTTGAATCATATCTATACAACATAAACAACCTTAGATCATCACCTTAGAGCCTTGGTCGAGACTTGTGAATCACAATTCAACCTTGAGAGTGTACTTGAACCAAGTTTGGTTTACAACCAAGAGCTTGTCTTTTTCAAGAGGTATAAGCTTACCACCTTTTCTTTTGCTTTCATTTCTATCTCTTGCTATCTATTTCTTATGTCTTTGTGTTGTTTTGGATCCATTTAAAGTGTTTGAACTTGGGTTTAAAAAGCTACCAAAGATAGAAAGATTTAACACCCTTTCTTGTACCTTACTTCATAGCTCAAACCTTTGTTTTACACTCTTTTCTTTGGTCTTCAAACTAATTTTCAGAGTTTAAAAAAGGGCTAAAACAAATGATTTGAGGTCTCAAAAGTGGAGGGGTTAGCCACCCCTCCTTGTTTTTGTTTACTAGCCTTGTTTTCCTTGCTTTTTGTTTAACTTTTTGGGCTCTTCTCATGCACTTTTCATAATTGATTTTTGCATATTAGGGGCATTTTTAGCGCTGTCTTAATTTATTTAATTAGTGTATGCTTTGAATATATAGCTTGTTGTGGTGTGTTACACATGCTCTGATAGCTTTTCTTTGGTTAATCTTCATGTCAAGAGTATCATTTTAATAAGCAATCTAGCCTTCCTCCCTCTTTTCTTCTTTTGTTTTAGAGTTATTTCAACTTGTTGATGGTTATTCAAAGCATAAAAAGGAGACATATGCTCAATGGCTTAATCTCTACGGAGGTTTATCGTCAATGGCATGGTCTCTCTTTCATGTTTAGGATCACCTCTCGTTTGACATTGCTTCTCATTTAGTGGACTTAATTATCATTTTGGACAAATGAATTAAAGAATGGAATGGACTATGAAAATTGGCTTAAAATGAACCAACCAACATAAAGAAAATGAGTTATATTGCTTGGGTTTGGCCGAACGTTATGCCGAGTTCATCGTGTCAAGGGTTGTCATACATCAATTCATGACGTTTTGATGAACCTTGAAGCAACGTCTCTACCTCCATCTTTGAGCTCACTCCATGATAGGAGAGAGGGGTGGTTGTTGTTAATTTTATTCATTGATTTTTGTCCAAAATCATGTTCGAAATCATCAAGCAATCAATTTGCTCATTGATGGTTTTGGAAACAACTTCGTTCTTCTCTTGAGGCTTTCCATGACAGTGAAGAGTAGAAGGGACAAACAGGGCCTAGAAAGGCTCTATTTGCACTATTCTCACCTCAGAGCACAAAAACAGTTTTGACACAAAATTAGGGCATGACCGGCTCTTTTTGGACCCGGCCGAATCTCATTTAAGGCCGGCCGGTCGGCCTCCAATGTTTGGTAAACAGAGTGTTTTGCAGAAAGCAAAGGGCAGTGACTAAAAGTGAAACAGAGCAAGTCTGGGCAGACAAAGCAGTTTCTGGACACTATGCATGCGAGCATTGTGCATCCATGCTATTGTTTGATGTTAATCATTGTAATTATTATTGCTGTAATTAGTCTTATTGTAATTATTATTATTGTTTATTTGTAATTGTCATAGCTAGTTAACTTAGATAGCTAGTTCATATCTCATCATTATCCTTGTTGTAATAAAGTAGTTAGCTAGTTAGTTCTTTAATTCATTCATTCGAATTTGTAATAGTTAGTTTAATTCGGACACTTGGACACTCATCCGGACCCTCTTGCATGAGGGCAAAATATGTAATAAGTTGTATGTCTTCCAACCCCTATTTCTTTCTCCCTTTTATTTACCCGCTTATAATGGTAGCATCATATTTACTTAGCATCTTTCATGAACTTGCATTCACTTGTTTTGCATACCTTGCATACATAAGAGTTCGGTTCATCATTCTAATAACAGTCATTTCTTACTTCCTAGACTACGTGCTATATCACATGTCTTGGATGGACTCATATGCCATGTTAGTAATCGAACCTATTAGTAGCATTTTGTATGTGTTGCATTAGTCATGTTGCGTATTTAGGGCCATGCATTTTTCTAATTATTTTATTTTCTTTGGCTCGCTGTGGAGTACTAGGTGAGCATTTATTGCTTTAGCATATTGCATGCGTGTGATTGTTGCCATGACATCAAAGCATGATTCCATGAGGCTAAGTATTTAAGTGATATACTTGTTTGAATGCCGGTGAATGAAGGCCTTTTACTTAAATTGGAATAAATTAATTAATGTACATACAAACTCACTTTTTCAAGTGACGTGTATTCAAAACACTTTTTCAAAACAAACATAACATCAATTTGTTCCAAATTTTATAAAGTGGTCTATACTTGTGTACATCACCTAGTAAAGTTAGCCTAATAATTAGAACAAGAGCATATAATGTAAATAAGAATCACATCAGGATTAGTAGAGGTCGATCTTTGATCGGGCAAGTGGGGTGCTCAATTCATGACCTTCCCCTCTCGTACCTAAGTTCCCGAGCCAAGACATTTTGGTGATGACGGACTAATGGCCTTTGGCACGAGCCACGGGTTTCCTAAATTTTTCAAAAATACTTAGGTGACAACTCTATAATCTGGCAAAGAAATCCATTTTTGACATTTTGATTCAAAATCGATTTTTCAAAAGATTTGTCGGATTTGGACTCTTTTGTGTTTATCTCTTTCACATTGCACTTGTGAAATCAGATTTAGAACCACGGGAGTCCGAACTGTAGGGCTATCATATCTGAAAGAAGCATGAAAAGTCAAGCCACAATCATCCGCATGAAGTGTCATGAAGCACTTACGACGCTTGTCTCTTAAGAACAATCTTGTAGCCTATACATACAGCTCATCATCCAGGGACACACCAGAGATGCTTTCTAACTTCGCCAAACATTCTGCAATTGAAGGATATCTTGATGGGGTTTGTGTTGATGTTACTGAAGATGACTCAACCACATTGACTATAGCCTGTGCTGGTCTTCTCCATCATAATCTCCAACTTCAAAAACCTCAGCCGAACATCATCCGCAGGAAGTGTCATGAAGCACTCACAACGTTTGTCTCTTAAGAACAATCTTGCAACCTATACATACAACTCATCATCTGGGGACATACCAGGGATGTTTTCCAACTTCGCCAAACATTCTCCAATTGAAGGATATCTTGATGAGGTTTGTGTTGAAGTTATTGAAAATGACTTAACCACATTGACTAGACGATCAAGTGTTTTGTTAAGTAGAATAGAAACTTTCTTTTTTTCCTTGCTCTGGTTTGATGAACCATCAGTGTTTGATGGACGTTTTTTTGTTTAAATTAGAAGGATGAACCATCTCCAAATCAACATCATCATGAAATTTAGCATCATGTGGGGTATCAAATTTCTCCCAAGTCTCATCAGTGTTAGGCATAACCCCTTCAAGTGACGTGTATTCAAAACACTTTTTCAAAACAAACATAACATCAATTTGTTCCAAATTTTATAAAGTGGTCTATACTTGTGTACATCACCTAGTAAAGTTAGCCTAATAATTAGAACAAGAGCATATAATGTAAATAAGAATCACATCAGGATTAGTAGAGGTCGATCTTTGATCGGGCAAGTGGGGTGCTCAATTCATGACCTTCCCCTCTCGTACCTAAGTTCCCGAGCCAAGACACTTTGGTGATGACGGACTAATGGCCTTTGGCACGAGCCATGGGTTTCCTAAATTTTTCAAAAATACTTAGGTGGTAACTCTATAATCTGGCAAAGCAATCCATTTTTGGCATTTTGATTCAAAATCGATTTTCCAAAAGATTTGTCAGATTTGGACTCTTTTGTGTTTATCTCTTTCACATTGCACTTGTGAAATCAGAATTAGAACCACGGGAGTCCGAATTGTAGGGCTATCGTATCTGAAAGAAGCATGAAAAGTCAAGCTACAATCATCCGCAGGAAGTGTCATGAAACACTCACGACGCTTGTCTCTTAAGAACAATCTTGTAGCCCATACATACAGCTCATCATCCAGGGACACACCAGAGATGCTTTCTAACTTCGCCAAACATTTAGCAATTGAAGGATATCTTGATGGGGTTTGTGTTGAAGTTACTGAAGATGACTCAACCACATTGACTATAGCCTGTGCTGGTCTTCTCCATCATAATCTCCAACTTCAGAAACCTCAGCCGAACATCATCCTCAGGAAGTGTCATGAAGCACTCACGACGCTTGTCTCTTAAGAACAATCTTGCAACCTATACATACAGCTCATCATCTGGGGACATACCAGGGATGTTTTCCAACTTCGCCAAACATTCTCCAATTGAAGGATATCTTGATGAGGTTTGTGTTGAAGTTATTGAAAATGACTTAACCACATTGGCTAGACGATCAAGTGTTTTGTTAAGTAGAATAGAAACTTTCTTTTTTGCCTTGCTCTGGTTTGATGAACCATCAGTGTTTGATGGACGTTTTTTTGTTTAAATTAGAAGGATGAACCACCTCCAAATCAACATCATCATGAAATTTAGCATCATGTGGGGTATCAAATTTCTCCCAAGTCTCATCAGTGTTAGGCATAACCCCTGAGCTAGGGGTGTATGCCCATTCTCCTTTAGCAGCTACATTTCAGAATAGCATACCTAGGTCTTTAGTGAATTGCAACGGCATACGCCGAAATTTAGTGGCACCAGGATACCTCTGCAACAATTGCAAAGGAAAATTTAACAATTTGGCCTATTTAAAATTTGGTATGTTAAAAAAAAAAAAAAAAAAAAAATATAATATGTACATTAATCAATTCACTCACCTCAAATTTATTGGTCCGCCACTTATCAAATACAAAGATAGCTCCAGTCAATATATCACGGCCTAAGCCTGTCTCACCCCTTAAAAGATTATTCCATAAAAGCCAATCTTTTTTCAAAACATCCCAATGATTTTTCATTTGTACTCGTTGGCATGCTTTTCCAGTCATAGTTTTAAACTTTGTTATCAAATTTTTCCACCCGACCTTATCTAAGTATGTACCAGGTTTGTGTCCAGCCTTCACTTGCTCAACACAAAGCTTAATAAAAATTTCATTTGATTTTGCATCCCAATGAGCTTTAACGGATGGTACTTGAGAGGATTTTCCCTTGTTCTTCCTATTTTCAGATTGTGTTTCCTCTTGGGTACTCATTGTATGAAAGAAAAAATTTCTTTAACACATATTCATTATTGCTTGCATTAAAACATAGGATTAGTTCAAAATAACCATACATGGAAACTAGGATAGGCATATCAACATTCATTGGGTACATAGCTTAGCACAAAAACACCTTACCTAAAAGTCACCTACAATCATTTGACGAGTAATGCAACTGGTAGAACAACACAAATTGTAAACAAACCCACAAGAAGCAACTTCATGAATGTTAAGGATTGCTCAATCATTTGGTTCTTGACTTTTAGTCCTACAGACTCGATGTTTTGATTTTGATAAACCATTCTCTCGTTCCTCTGCCTCTCTAGCATCATCACAGATTTTGGGGTACACCACCTCCAAAAATGACAATTTCTTGTCTCACAAATGACGTACATTCTCCCTTTAGATAGCTTGTCAGACTCAGTAACTCTTATGGCAGCTCTTACACCACAATCACATTTCAAAGCCTCATACCTCAAGTCCAAGGTCTCAACACTAGAAGAATAGTTACTAGATGATAACACGTCTCTGCGTTAATTAGGAAGAATTGAATCCAAATCCTCTAAAATTGATTGAGAAGTTAATTGTATAATACACTTTTGATTTGGTCATTTTCTCATTCAACTTTTATGAAAAATGATTGAGATAATACTTGTCACACAACTGTAAGCACACACCTTACATATGAACCCAGAAAAGACCAAAACAATAACACCCATCATCAGAAATGAAGTTAAATAAAAGTTTATCTTCACCCTACACCCATCTCTCGAATTTGTTAATTCCTACACTCATCCTCACCCTTCACAACATCTAATGAACTAAACATTAATTCATTATCATACCTAAAACATTAATTCCTAAACATTTTCATACCAGAGTTGTTCAAAATATCACTATAGTCAACATATAAACATTAATTCAAAATATAAACTAAAGTCCATTGTTTGCAATGAGACAGGAATTCATTAATTCATTATAAACTAAAGTCATCATACCAGAACAAACAACATAGTTTGAAATGAGTCAAAATATAAACATTAATTCATATCACCAATGAACTAACTAAAGTCCATAGTTTGAAATGAGACAGAGGAATTCAATAAAAATAAAAAAATAATCAATAACTTGCATATGTTGTGCACTTTGGTCTTAAATTCTCATCAAGATAGCCAAACAAACACCATAACTAGCATATGTTGTGAACAACCAGCTTAGTTGCAAAGACAGTCAAACAAAAACAAACCCACTTATCAGCACACCCAAAAATTTTAACCATTTGGTTGGCACCCCAAAACAAAGAACCCCAACTTCAGTCAGAGAAATGAAATTAAAGAAGCAAAATTTCTGGTAATTAACTTCTCATTAGAACAATCAAAAACAAAACACTGAACTACCCACTTAGTTACCGAAAAAATTAAGACAATTGCAGTGCAAAATTGTTAAGATTTCCTTCAAATTCTCGCCAACCAAACAGAAAATAAACAAATTGAAAGATAGGCAAGAAGAAATACCAAAGAAAGAAAAAGAAAAAAACCTGAATTCCTGGAGAAGAATAGGGATTCCGAGAAGGGAAAACAAGAACCCTAGAATTTTTTTTTCTTGTATTGTTTTGTTTTATTTAAATTCTTGCAAAATATAGAGGAATATTTGAGGGGTGGGTAAGACTAGGAAGAGAAGGTAACAAAACATGACAGAGAGCCCTTCGTAAGCCTTGTTTGCTAGAGTATCACACTATTTCACAGTAATCGAATCCACCATTTCACAGTAATTAAAGAGAAAAGGGAGAGAGAGAGAGAGAGAGAGAGAGAGAGAGAGAGAGAGAGAGAGAGCGGGGAGAGAGAAGTGAAAAAACAGAGGAATTCAATAAAAATACAAAAATAATCAATAACTTGCATATATTGTGCACTTTGGTCTTAAATTCTCATCAAGACAGCCAAACAAACACCATAACTAGCATATGTTGTGAACAACCAGTTTAGTTGCAAAGACAGTCAAACAAAAACAAACCCACTTATCAGCACACCCAAAAATTTTAACCATTTGGTTGGCACCCAAAAACAAAGAACCCCAACTTCAGTCAGAGAAATGAAATTAAAGAAGCAAAATTTTTGGTAATTAACTTCTCATTAGAACAATCAAAAACAAAACATTGAACTACCCACTTAGTTACTGAAAAAATTAAGATAATTGCAGTGCAAAATTGTTAAGATTTCCTTCAAATTCTCGCCAACCAAACATAAAATAAACAAATTGAAAGATAGGCAAGAAGAAATACCAAAGAAAGAAAAAGAAAAAAACCTGAATTCCTGGAGAAGAATAGGGATTCCGAGAAGGGAAAACAAGAACCCTAGAATTTTTTTTTCTTGTATTGTTTTGTTTTATTTAAATTCTTGCAAAATATAGAGGAATATTTGAGGGGTGGGTAAGACTAGGAAGAGAAGGTAACAAAACGTGACGGAGAGGACTTCATAAGCCTTGTTTGCTAGAGTATCACACCATTTCACAGTAATCAGAGAGAAAAGAGAGAGAGAGAGAGAGAGAGAGAGAGAGAGAGCTCAGTAACAACTCGCACACACAGAGCAACCAAAAACAAAAACCCTAAATCGATGTGTATATATATATGTATCTATATATAAGAAACAAAGGGCATGAAATCTTACATTTTTGGTGCAGATCAACAGAAAACAAGGGTCCAAACTGAACGATCGGCTGTGATCTTGGAGATGTGAAGGAGTTCGTCGTTGGTCGCCGAGAGGAAAGGAGAAGAGGAGAGGAGAGTATGAAAGGAGAGGAGCGTGTTAGGGCAACATAGAAGAGGGTTTATATAATGGCATTTCCATAATTTTTGAAGTTTTGGAGGGGCATTTGAGTCATTTCAGCCCCCTTACCAGTTGCGCGCATAAGTTGTTTCAAAGAAGCACCCCCCGAGTTGCTTTGGCCTCGAAGCTGAAAATACCTTCAAATAAGCTATAATTTGATAATTTAAGTTGCACCAAACACAATATTATAGCTTAAATTAAGTTAAAAGTTGAAATAAGTAGTTTTTAAGCTGCACCAAATAGGCATATTATGCGCCCACATGCTTATGACATGCATAGGTTATTGGAATTAGTGGGTCTGACATTAAGCCGTTGACTATACGATTAGCAAGCCATTGATTCACAGATTGAATTCGGTGTATACCATCAAAAGTAGGGTATTTCAAACCTACAAATAATGTAAAGAGAGAGCAATATAAGAAAACTGAAATACGACGATTACCTTAAATAAATAAATAAATAAAGAAGCCTAGATTAGAATAATGACAAAAAATGATAGTTATAAATCATTTTGTAGCATGAAAACATCTAAAACACCATTTGATTATCCATGATTTATTTGGACAAGAGCTATTTGTATTTCAATGTTAATGGAACTTTGTTATTTTTTAATATGTAAGTAGTCGTATATAGTTAAGAGAATAAGTTGATAATATTATGGAAAAATGAGTAGTAATATAAAAAAAAATTGTAATATAGATTGAAAATGGTAAAGTTGATGAAGATGATAATGATAATTACCTAGTTTAGTGTAAGTGGTAAGCAATTCATGCATTGGGGTGTAAAGATCCACATATGTTAAGGCAGCTTCTGGAAGCTCTACCTTTAGTTTGTTCACCTTTTCTTTGAATTGTCTATTGTATTCATTGGACATTTCTTTCATAAAGGTATAACATTTGTTTTGTTCTTGAGTCCTAGACAATTCCCAAATCAATCTGCTAGCAAATCCGAAACAACCAATTGGGGCTGTGTTATGTATCCAGAATGCCCTTGCCCCTTGTTGATAGAAAACTTGCAATATATAGTATAAGAAGTGCATTCACACATATATTATTATTTTAAGCAATGACCTAAAACAACAATGTGTATACATAAAATTTTAATTTTATCAATTCCAATTGTAAATATCGTACAACTTACTTTGACTGTTGCAACAAATTTGTTAATTATATTTGGAATTTGAGCTAGAACATCAAGTTTTATTATATAGCAAAGGGTAAGATCATTTTGACAGATATCAAGAGTGTAAAGAGGCTTGGAGAAGTCATTGGGTTTGGGGAGTCTACTTGTATTTGTTTGCTTAGCTGAAAGATAATTGAAATTATCATGTGTCAAATATTAGTGAAACAAACTTTTAATTTGGTAGACAACATTCAATAAAGTAATTATATCAGCATAATATTGTTGTATTTATAAATATGGCCACCGCAATTACCTTGTTTATAAACATCATTACTTTGCAATTTGAGCTCACCAAATTGCTTGATCTGAATTCCAATATCGAAGGGGTTACCATTAGGATATTGTTGGGGAGTAATAGACACGCCTGGTGATGCAAAGTTGGCACCATATTGAAAATTTGTTGTGTTTAGATTTTGATATGCATTCACATATGGTAGTCTCAAATAATCAGATGCTTGGCATAAAACAACAAGATTAAGTTATGCATTTCTATTTTAAGTAGTGTCTAATTGTGATAAATATTCATGCATATACTTGAAACTAGAGTAAAAAAATATTTTTATTTTTATACCCATAAATTCTATAAGGAGACGCCTAACATCAAGATATCTATTACAGCCTGTAGCTCAGTTTGAGTCACCAAAACTGTAAATTCCTGGGAAATTGCATGGTGGCAAACTAGTCACGTCCATTGCTCCAACATCAATATTGAAAAGTACCGATGGCACTAAGATCTGAATTAGCATCACCATTTTGATGAGCTCTATTGTTTTTCTTTTTGCAAGATTAATTAAGAGAAAATGTTAATACTTCATGTGGGGATATGTTTTCTGAGTACCGACACGTAGCATGGTGACGCCGACGTGTAAGCCGAGGTGCCACGTGTTGTGGAAGTCACACTGAGGTAATCTCGGAGATGCCGAGATTATCTCCGAAGATATCGAAATCCGAGATAAGTGGATAAGGGACAAGAGTCCTAGGACAAAGAGG